TATTATACTATAGCTATAATAAGGAGTCCCCAAATAGTATTATTAATTTTTCAGGCTCCTATATTATGTTAGTGAGGTGGGCTTAGCGTGCAGAGGTTTGGGATTTGAAGATTTGGAGGTGTGCGCTCGTGCCTGCAAAGATCAACAATGGAAGTGGCACACCGAGTTCACATGTGATGGGGCCCAAGCCTCTACTCCAAGCAGGTGTGCTAAAAAAAAGGGGGCTTTCTGATCTCTGTGCCGAGCTCTTGGGGATGCACCTTTCAGATGAAACTGAAAAAAATAGGGGCCTTAATAATTAGGATATGGTTTTGGGTCCGTTATACTATAACTAAATGTAATAAGGAACCCCAAAATAGCATTGGTAATTATTGAGGCCCCTACATTATCTGAAAATGCGATGTTGACCTTCGGCTCCAAACACAAAATCTCGAGGCCCTTCCCTAGACCATTTACCCGGAGAGACAAACCCCTACGCCCCTAAAGCCTAAACCCCAAACTCTAATTAATCCCCTACAGTAAACCCTAACCCATAAACCCTACAAGCCCTATAAGCCTTAAATCTTCAAACCCTACTCCCCGAAGCACCCAGAGAAGCCAGACGCCTCACGGACCGCTGTGGAGATCCGGCCCAGTGAAAGGGCCAACATCCCAGGAAGGCTGTTGACCCTAGGCCTAAACCCTAAACCCTGAACCCTAAACCCTAAACCCTGAACCCTCAACCCTGAACCCTGAACCCTCAACCCTGAACCCTAAACCCTAAGCCCAAAGCCCTAAACCCCCAAAAGCTGAAAGGGCCAACATGCCAGGAAGGTCGCGCAGGCTCTTGAGGGTGTATCGGTACTGAAACGTTTAGGGTTTGGGGTTGGTGAGTTCGTGGTTTTTAGAGTTTAGGGCTTTAGGGTTTTGGGCTTTTCGGGTTTAGGGGCTAGGGCTTTAGGGATGTAGGGGTTTATATGGGGGTTTCCGAAAATAGGGGACCCTAACATAGTACCCTAAATAGTAGGATCCTTATTATAAGGACCCCAGAATAAGGTACTCTTATTTTCGGAAACTCCCATATAGGGTTTAGGGGTCACAGAAGGATTTCGGGGGGGTTGGGATTTCTTCGGGCTCGGGGCTGCAAGTCTCGAAAGTTGGACAGTCTACGTCTCAGGCAGATAAGTAACTGTTAAAAATCATGTTGCCATAATATAGGGGCCAAAAAAAATCTATACTATTGCCGGGGCTCCTTATTCAAATTGTAGTATAGTATACCCCAAACACCTATTCTAACTATTAAGGCCCCTACAGTAGAGGGTGTTATGACGGCTTTCGGTTCACTACCATAGGGGGTTATCGCAACCCTAAGCCCTAAACCCAAACCCCTAAACCCTAAACCCTAAAACGGCCTTAGGGTTAGGGTGCTAGGATCTAGGCTTCAAGGGCAGGGGTCGGGGGCTTAGGCTTGAGGGGGGCGGCCTGTTTGGGGTGATGTAGGGGCCTTAACGATTGGAATAGAGTTTTGGGGTTCCTTTAAAGGGTTCCTTAAAGGGTTCTATAAGGGCTACCAAAAGGGTTTAGGGTTTAGTGGTTTTTAATAATTTTAATAGGGTGTTGGGGTATGCTTTATTAATAATCACAATAAGGAGCCCCCCCCCCCCAAAAAA